AGCTTCGAATCTACCCGCTTCCGGAGATATTCATACCTAGCATGTTCTCCACCTTACCTCAGGTTCACAACGGCAAGCATGACGTGGTAGATCCCGCGCTGTCAGACAGGTTTGATACTCACGCCGCTGATCAATGAACACCAAGCAATCGTGGGGATTGCAGACGAATGCCGCCAATCGTTCGACAGAGGCAGTTTGTATGGCGGGCTGGGCAATCGAGTGAGGACCAGACCGATAAGTCCATCGAATTGCGGAACTGCGGTGCAGAAGGCATGCGACAAGAGGAACAAGAGAACTCGCGCACAGCAAGAACCCCCCCTCGTATCTTCCCTCCTCACTGAGATATGACGTGCAGTCGAGGCCCACTGTCGCCGCTGCCGACAACTATGCGGGAGTCGGGTTGACTGGTCTTTCATGGCGGGCGCGGTGCTGGAGGATCTGCCTTACCGCTCGTTCAAGATAGGGCCAGGCTCTCCGTTCTTCTTTGATGCCTGTTACTTCGAGTTTCGAGCTGCAATCAGTGCCATCACAAATGAGCTAGCGTCGGGGCCGCTCTGCATGTCGGCTTCCGATATCCTCCAAAGGCTCGTAATTATACGATGGTTGTCGTTGGAACCTGAGATTGTAGGATATTTTGTATGCGTCACAGAGCATATCTCAGTAATAAAGATTTTCAACTTGGGCCACGAGCTCTGTGGCACGTGGATAACTCTTACACAAATATATGTTTACCGACATTGTGCTTGTTCGCAGTTGAGTCTTCATGGGGCCCTCTGAAACTCCTCGCAGACTGGTTCTGGCATTCAGAGAAGGCTACCTTCAGCGTCAGTTGGAGTACCACACTCGTGCCTCTGAACAGCACTACCCGATGCGCTAGGGACCTGCCATCGTTCTCTCTTGCTCGTGAGTCGATGAGAATAGTGACGTGGTGGCCACGACTAGCTGAGGGACAAACTGAGGGAGCGTGGCTGACTCATCGCAGAAATCTGTCTATAAATACAGAGGCTTTCCCTTCCACTTTACACAATTCATCATCCTCTCCGCACAGCTCCTCCTTCCACTCACCCTGTGCAACGACCAGAATACACGCCATGAGCCTGTGGAGCACTTTGCACTCTCCAGGCGAGAGGCCTGCAGTCCCTAGTCCAACAACTACCGCAACGGTTAAGCAGGCTGTGCAACCACACATCGGATCCGCCAAGGCTGCTTCCGTTCGGTCTTCAGACAACCCCGACCATGACCATCGTTCAGTCGGTCAAGCGGTATTGTTCGCCGAGGAAGCGGTGCAAACGGCGACTAGTCCAAAAGTCAGCAGCCTGACCCCCGATGTGGCAGCCCCTGCCGCTCTACCATGTGGCCTGCTCGAAATCGGCAAGACAGTAGCCACTCTCAGTGACGCATCTCCACAAACTGATCTTTCAGCTTATCACAAACTAAAGAAAGCACGTAAGTGATGTCCCATGAAGCCTCACAACGCAGCGATGAAGAAGGGTCTGTAGTGACAAGTTTTCCCCACCAGCGTTGTCGCGGTCGAAGCCGGGCTCTGCACGATCCCGTCCTACAAAGCGCGCCAGAGAATCATCGATCGAACCACAGCCGCAGAGGAAAAAAGCCCCGAAGGCTGTCAAGCTTGACAGATCCATGGTTTATGACGTGGAAAATCTCACAAACTTTGCTTTCAGAAACGGCACCATGTATTGCAAGGCTGAATGGGCTCCCACAGAAGTCCAGCTTTGTGATGTAGTTGGAGACGAAGCAATGGCGATTTGTGAACGAGAAATCACATCGCGATTCGGGGCTGACGTATGGGCGAAGCAGAAAGCTGCTTGTTTTGACCAGAAACCAGAAATCCAAGATGTAAACGATCGGATCACGTCCTAATTGGGTGAGGTGGATGGGTTTTAATGGTACACTCGTTTTGGATTGTATGTACAGGCTTGTTTGTTTGCGCACACTCTTCCTCTATTCTAGGTTGTCAAAAGATTCTCCGACTCGTCGGTTTCTCACCAGCGCGTTCTCTGCGCGAGCTCTATTCTCGCTTGTCTTTATCATGTCTCTGTACCTTACAGGCGTATCCCCGCAATTTACCATCAGTCGGAAATCCTCGCCTCGGTTCTACCAAAACCCTGCCGGACTACCGAGTATCTACATAGAGTTCGTGTCCAGCATGCTCACTTAGAAGCTAGTAACGCCACCGGGATCCGGGGCAGCGCTCGTTATTCGTAGCGTCAATCTGGAGTCGATGCTAACTAACCAGTCGCGGGGGTAGCACAACACACTCCGGCCGTCCACCAGTCTTGGCTCGTCAAGTTGTAACACTTCCAAAGCAGGGTGGCGCTGCATGAACCGTACCAACGCGAGGACTCCTACATACATGTTGGCAAGAGATACGGAGCGAAGCTCAGGGCAGGGCACGCGATCGAGAGGAATGAGAGTGGGCGGATCGCAGCGGCTGAAGTTGACGTGGAGATTTTGTAAAGCGGGAAACGAAGACAAAAAGACATTGAATGTTGTTGCAGTGGTGTTTGCCATGCTCAATGATCTGATGTCGAGCCTGGTCACCGAACGCAGCGCCGCGTGTAGAGGGCCGATGGACTCAAGCCTCAGTACGCCTTCAATCTTGAGATCCTGGATACGGGCGTAGTTGGGAAGTATTGTCAAAAAGTCACCGACCAGACGATCGACTGAGCCTCTCCGGCCCGGAAATAGCCAGATCTGTTGGCACAGTCGGGTGAGTTGGGCGTTTTTCTTCGGTTTCCGCGCATGGGAACAGGCATGGGAGATTGTGATCTGCTCGAGCTGTGGCAGAGAACTTAAAATCTGGTTCAGTCGACGGATGTCTCCATGGCGACTTCTAGACTCCTCGGCCGCTACGAAGTGACGATAGTGTCGGAAGGCCTGCAAAGCATTTTCCCTCTTCGACGGAGATTGCGACACAAAAGGGTGCGCCTCGTACACCTGGAGCGGGTGAAGCTGCCATGTTTTGTAGTCGCACTTCGGCCACTCGCCGTGATACACCGTGAGCGCTCGTGTGAGCGGGGTTGTTTGTTTGATGTGGTGCGTCAGGCCCGACAGTGCCGAAAGGGTGTTGAGTACGCAGAGGTGACGCGACGCCTCGGACAAGCAGGCATGGTTGAAGTGACTGGAAGTCAGTGCCAAATTGAGAAGGCTTCGTGAGTCTAGATACGAGACGAACTCGTGGATGATCTCATAGGGCAACCTTTCCATGGTAAAGGTGAGTGGACGCAGGCTGGCCCAATGCAGCGAACCCGCAGGCGCACAGTAGCGTAGATATGGCCGTTGTTCTTCTTCTCCTGTTGAGGCCCATCCCGGATAGTCGCAATCCTGAACAAAGCATGGCATGATTCTGGATTCTGAGTTTCTCATGGACTGTAGTGGAAGCTGTCAGAATTTATTCTCGACTGCCTAGGCAGCCACAGTGAACGAATAGGGTCATCGCGGTGTGTCGATGAGATCCGTCGTTCAGCGGCGGTGGTGGGTGTACAGCGGCGCACCCCGTGTCAGATCCGACATGAGACTTCCTGGTTGAGCGAACACCATAGCCGCGCGGTTGCGCAGCCGGGCACGAGCTGGCCACAGTACCGCAGAGACCCAAGTCGCTGCGGAACGTTAGAATAAATCAGATTATTGACCATTGATTCGTGGCTTTCTAATTTGCACTGATCCTATCTCTCCCGACTAACGCATGGTCGATGCCAGGCTGCACAGGCTGGACCGGCCGCCCCCAAGGGCAGGAAGTAGTCTCTGGGCGGAACAATGCATTGAGTCCATCTCATAGTGGATTAAAACCGAGCTGCGTTACGATGTCCGCTTGCAATCTATATGGAAGATGACGTTTGCTGTGATTGAGTATTCTGACTGCTGATTGTGCCACGCAAGCCGCATCCGAAGGAGAAG